TGTAGTGGCTCGCCTGTAATCCCAACACTTTGGGAGGGGGAGGCAAGAAGATTACCTGAGCCCATGGGTTCGGGACCAGCCTAGGCAACTTGGTGAGACCTTGTCTCTACAAGAAATCAGAAAAGATGTAAAACCCATTCTTAGCTCATGGGCCATATAAAAACAGACTTCAGGCCATGGCTTGCCATGTTTTGCTAGACACCAGAAATGCTATGTATATTAACCCATTTAATTATCACAAGAACCTTATTAAGAAGGTACTATTTAACACTGCATTTATAGATGAGGAAACTGAGGCAAAGGAGATCAAGAAACTTGTCTAAGCCCCAATGGCTCACTGGTGCTTCAAACCCAGAGTCTGGCCCTGGAGCTTTCACATGGAGCCTAAGGCTCCTGAAGTCAGACACCAGGCCAGTGTGGCCATGCTGAGAGAGCAAGGCAGGCAGGAGCTAGGCCTTGCAGGGTTGAGGCTGTGGTAAAACTTTGGATTGCATATTTGTATTTGCTACATCAAACTTTATCGAGGTAAATTTATATAACATAAAATGCACCTAAATTAAGTGTACAGTTTGGTGGGGTCTGTAAACACCACCATAATCCAGACATAGAATGGTGCCATTACCCCCAAAAGTCCCTCATGCCCCTCTATGGTCAGTCCTCCCCTGACCCAACCCCAGTCAACCACTGACTTACTTTTCATTACTATAGATTCAACATCCCTTTTATTTATTCTTGTTTTTCTAGGTCAGAGTCTCACTCTGTTGGCCCAGAGTGGAGTGCAGTGGCACACCAATGGCCACCGCAGGCTTGACCTGCTAGGCTCAGGCAATCCTTCCACCTCAGCCTTCCAAGTAGCTGGAATCATAGTCATGTACCACTATGGCTGGCTAATTTTTTGACTTATTGTAGAGATGAGGTCTCGCCAAATTGCCCAGGCTGGTTTCAAACCCATGGGCTCGGACAATCCTCTCACCTCAGTTCCCCAAAGTGCTGGGATTATACGCTTGAGCTACTGTGCCCAGATTGTGGCTGCTTTTTTTTACGAAATGGCAGAGTTGAGTTCTGCAAAAAACCACATGGCCAGCAAAGCCTAAAATATTTAGTATCCAGTCCTTCACAAAAAAGGGTCAGTCCCTAGTCTATTATCACATGTTTATTTGATACTATTATCTTTATCATCATCCCCAACTTGCATTAACTGTTCCCTCTTTCTGGAAAGTTCTATCAGATCTTAGGATCCTTTGCTCCTTCTTGTAACTCAGATTACAAATGTTAGCTCTTCAGAGGTCTTCTGTGGTTACCTCATCACTCACCATTTTAATTCTTGACATACCACTTACTGTTTGTTTCCCTATTGTATCCTCAGAACTTAGCTCAGTGCCTGACCCACAGAAAGCACTCAATAACTGGATGAATGAATGAACAGGTGAACAGCTTACTGAACATGCAATACCGGGGGTACAAGTGACATAGAAGACTCTGAGCTCATAGCTGAACTAATTTGATGGAAAGGTCTTCACTTAAGTGTGCATGCAGATGTGCCAGGGGCATTCAAGAGAAAGTTCCATGACGGAGCCTGGAACTGCCATCCAGATGTCTTGTTTTGGCCAATGAGTGGATGTGGCACAGGTACTAGGGTGGGACACACTTGGGACACAGCAACTGTGGGTCTTGTGGGCTGATATCGTCTGTGAAGTCACCTGAGACTGAGGTTCCTAAGTTGCATGCAGTGGACAGCTATATCAACTGGCTGTTGATACATATTAGAGATTCAGGGATCCCTAGGACCCAGACCCCAGAGTTGAGTCCAAGGATACAAGAGCTCCCTTGCTAGGTACCTGCCCAGCCCAGGCAACCCTTTGGGGAAAGCAGAGTCCAGGTTTGTCCTTAGCAAGGGAGGGATGAAGACAGGACAGGCCAATCAAGAGACAGGAGGGATAGCCCCTGCCAACACAGAGTAAATCCAGCCCAGATACCAGAAGAGGAAAGGACCTCTAAAGCCTCCCCCATCCCACCTCTCAGCAAGACTCAGACTTGGGACAGGGGCAGACAGCGGGCCCCTCAGAGTTCTGAACATCCACCACAGTGACAAGCATGGAGACAGTAACTGTGCAGGTTCCATCAGGCAGCCACCAGTAATTAAGTAATGCAGCTTCGTGCTGAATGAAGCTCCCCTTGGTAAGTGGCTCTGGGTCGCTGAAGTGAGCAAGGTGGCAGAGCCAGAGGCCCCTGCAGGAGGCCACCGGTACTGCAGGCAAGACACCAGGGAAACCCCCCCAAAACGGCAATAAACCAACTGGAAAGCAAAGAAGCCCAGGAGGGCTCACAAGCAGTGTAATACCTTTGCCTCCACCTCACCCCAAGTAAGGATCCAGGAAGAAAACGAAGGCACGGAGCTTTGGGGAAGGCTAGCTTTGCTCTGACTTCACTCCCTAAGCCTGGAATGACTCCATACACACCACCCCTCTGCAACCATGGAAACTAATCCCATTGTGCTAAAGCCTCCATTCTGGTACAGCCAGGGCCCAAACAGTCTTGAATACTCCCTCCCAGGTCGGGGTACTTGCCCTGCCCAGCACAGGTTAGTTAGAACTTCTTGCCCTGACTCCAAGGCGCCCTATACTACAACTGAGGTCACTTGAATCTCTGAAAGTTTAAGGAACCTGCCTCAGAGAGGCTCCATTTTCTCTTTTAGCCTAACTCCAAAGCCAACACAAAGCCTGGATAAGTCTTCTCTGCAGGAGAGGGCCTTGATTTCCTCATCTGAAAATGAAGTTAATTTCTGTGCTGTCTACCTGGCCGACGGGTAGCAAAGATCAACACTTTGATCTTTGATTTAAACTTCACATTTAAATAAAATGTGAAACTCCCTACTGGTGTCCTTTGACTTTCAGAAACCTTTCCTGAGCCTTGGCACTTGCTGCTCTGGGCCTCAGCCACCAACGCCCAAGTGCGGCCTGGTGAGATTTCTGCCCTGGGTTGCCTTGAATGCCAGCTAGACACTAGTCCCGAGGGTTGCCTCACCTGGGCCTCGGCCTCCTCTACCCATCAGCCAGCCTTCCCTCCCTCTCCCGTTCTCTCTCATCTCAGCCTCCTACTTCCTGGGCCCGGCCTCCTCTGCCCTCCAGCCCAGAACGCTCTTCCTCCGGCTCGGGACCCCTCGCTCTCGTTCTAGCCCAGCCACAGGACCCGGAAGCCCGCGTCTTACCTTCCGCCTCGCGCAGGCCGCCACCACCGCGCAATCGGTCTGTTCCTGACCGCGGGTCAGTCCGCCCCGTGCTCCTCCAGGCGCTGCGGGGGCGGGCCCCGCGCCGGGCCCTCGCCATGGCAACGCTACACTTCCGGTTAGCGCGGCCCAGAGCCGGAAGCCGCGGTGCCCCGTGGGACCGGAGGCGGGGCCAAATTCCCGGGGGTGGGGCCTGAGAAGGATTTAGCGGAGGCTGGTGCCTGACCAGGACGACTAGTGACGGCTATGTGCTGCTTGTGTGATCCCTTCGGTGGCAGGGACATCCTCGGGACCCAGGTGGGGCAGGAAGGGCAAGTGGTCAAAAGGTCCCCAGAGTGTGGGCAGAGGTAACAGCACGTACAAAGGTGGAAGGACCCACGACTGGTGCATCTGCGGAATGGGTTCAGGTGGGTAGTTAGAGGGAGAGTGGTAGCATAGGGGACAGTTTGGTCAGAGATGAGCAGTCAGAATACTAAGAGTCTTGAACGCCAGACCAAGAAATCGGACTTTATCCTGATAGCAAGGAAGGACCAGTGGAGAAGGGCTGCCTTAAGACTTGTAGGAGAGAACTATGTCTTTGCTGACAGAATGGGGCTAGGAGGCTGCAGGTGGTCTGGTGAGGCACATGGGCTGCTCAACTAGAGCTGTGGCAACAGAAAGGAGAAGAGGGCCCCAGACATGTTGAAGAGGTGACAGAAATACACAGGAAGTACACAGGAAGCCAAATGAAGTCTGAAGGGAGAGTGGCATAGTGGGAAAAGGGACACTTTTCCACACCAGAGGTCGGCAGGCAGGAGCAGTGTGGTATGCCACATACATCATCCTCTCAACCCCAGGTTTTCTCCTCCATTGTACTCATTGTACATTCCTTCCCTCAGCACCTCAAGGTGTGGTGGACACCAGCTGTAAGGTGCAGATTTTCAACCCTATGATGATATAATGGTAGGGGACCGCACAAGAAAAGCCGAATTCTCAGAATAAAATGCATCAAGTGTATCTCTGTGCTCTGTGTATATGGGGGCCCTTGGCTCTGATGCCCGCACCAACCACCACTGCTAGTGCCCTGGCCATACAATCGTACTATACTCTCGGACAAAGTTGTCCCATGTGAGGGAGGGAAACCTGGGATTTGGGGCAGGACAGAGCACAGGCCTTATTGACTTGAGGCAGAGCCACAGATTACATGGTCAGGGAGGAGAAGGTAAAGGATCTATCTTGGTTTCCTGAAGAATGCTCCTGGGAAAATCACTTGAGTCAACTAGATTGCTCTTTTGTTCCTGGAGTAGAGGCTTCATGGCCTTTTCCTCCAGAAAGCCCTACCTTATCATGTCAAGGGTGGATGACAGTCCCTGTAGCCTAGGTCCTACTAGCTGCTGGGTCTAGCTCAGGGAACACCTTAGTCTTTGGCAGCTTGGCATGGTCAAATTACTCCCCCATCTGTTAAATGGGTTCCTAAAACCTGGCCAGGGCATTTGGGATAGTAATCATGGGTCATTTGAAGAGGTGCCTGGCTATCCAAAGGCAGCTCAGGGATGGGGACTGAGGCCTCAGGAGAACCCCCTAGAATCCTCTTTGCCCCTCCCTTCCAGATTAACCAAAACCTGCTAATTGTGGCAGCCCTCCACACGCTCCCCTCCCCCATGGCCTCTTCTTCCCTTCCTTTACCTCCCCTCCCCCTTCCATCCGAATGATAAAGAGCCCAGCCCACTGGCCCCAGCCCAGCCTCAGGCCCCAGCCCTGCCTCACCACACTGCCCCATTGCCCTGAGCCCTTCACCAGGCCAGGCCCCTTTCCACGCTACCTTCCCTGCATGGGGCCCTGCAGCGACTCCTGCCTGGGGCCCCCGAAGGCAAAGTCGTCCTCCCAGCCCCCCAAGAGGAGGAAGAAGAGATACCTGCGGCATGACAAGCCCCCCTACACCTACTTGGCCATGATCGCCTTGGTGATTCAAGCCGCACCCTCCCGCAGGCTGAAGCTGGCTCAGGTGAGAGGGTCCCCCACTCTCCCTCACACTCCTGGGTTGGACCTTTCCCCAAACGTGTTCCCACCTACTTCCAGGCTCAGGCTCTGACCTCCACCCCCACCTGGCCCCAACCAGCTATGCCAGTGGGACCAGCCCGGAGCACGACCCCACTCTGGGAGCATCTCCCGGACCCCGCCGCCCTCCGCCGCCGAAGTGTTCTTCTGTTGGGGGGGGTAGGGAGAGGCCTGCGCCCCTGCGCCCCTGCAGCCAGCTGTGGGGGAGGGGTGGGACGCTGCTCCCTCCCCCCCAGGCTGACGGCGCCGGCCGTCCGGCCACCTGGTGGTTTCAGATCATCCGTCAGGTCCAGGCCGTGTTCCCTTTCTTCAGGGAAGATTACCAGGGTTGGAAAGACTCCATCCGCCACAACCTTTCCTCCAACCGATGCTTCCGCAAGGTGGGGCAAGCAAGGGTCGGAGGCCCGGGGGGGAGGGGGGGGAACGGAAGTCCTGAGCATCCGGGGTCGGGCGACCCCACCCAAGTCTGCCTCCCTCCCCAGGTGCCCAAGGACCCTGCGAAACCCCAGGCCAAGGGCAACTTCTGGGCGGTCGATGTGAGCCTGATCCCAGCCGAGGCGCTACGGCTGCAGAACACGGCCCTGTACAGGCGCTGGAAGAACACGGGCTCACGCAGAGCCTTCGCCAGGGACCTGGGTCCCTACGTGCTGCACGGCCGGCCCTATCGGCCGCCCAGTCCCCCGCCGCCGCTGCCCAATGAGGGCTTCAGTATCAAGTCCCTGCTGAGGAACCCCAGGGAGGGGGCACCCCGGCCCCGGCCAGTGCCACAGAGCAGCCAAGCTCCTCCTTGCACAGGGTGCAGTGGGGAGGAGACAGCACCTACACCACCCTTGCCCCTCTCTGAGAGGCCTGCGTGGGCGTTCTGTTCCCTCCCTGGGCCCCCGAGAGTGGAGCAGGAGCCTTCTCAGGGGAGAGTCATGGGGCCCTCAACAGTCTCCCCAGAGCCTAGGGCCTGGCCCCTTCACTTACTGCAGGATACCCCAGGCTCCAGGGGGTTGTCCAGCGGAGGACACAGGGCCTCCTCACTCTGGGGGCAGCTGCCCACCTCCTACTTGCCCATCTACACCCCCAATGTGGTAATTCCCCTGACACCACCACCTACCTCCTGTCCCAGGTGTCCACCTTCAACCAGCCCAGCTTACTGGGGGATGGCCCCTGAAACCCAAGGGCCCCCAGGGATGCTCTGGGATCTAGACACCCTCTTCCAGGGGGTGCCACCCAATAAGAGCATCTATGATGCATGGGTCAGCCACCCTCGGGACTTGGCTGCCCCTGCCCCAGGATGGCTGCTCTCCTGGTATGGTCTCTGAGGCTCCTAAAGCAGGGTCTGTCTCTCCCTTCCATCCCCACCAGCTTGTTGATGGGGAACCAAGGAAAGGAGGGTATCTGCAGCAGCCTCAAAACATCAGGCACCAGCCCTGCTGGGAGTCCATTATGTTTATTGGACTACTCCACAAGCGCTTGTAGCCCAGCTGGGCATGACCCCGACCTTAGTCAGTCATGCCTCTGTCACCCCTACACCCAGAGGCAAGGCTGGAGGAGCAGGGCTGAGCCTGGAATAGCCCTTACTGGTCCCCTCTTCTCAGCCCCCCCCCCAATCCATCCATCACCCACCCTCTGTCACCTTCCCTCCCTCCTCCTGGCTGGGGGAGGGTGAACCTAATGGTGGATCTAGCCTGAAGTCCTGCCCTCTCATCTGTCTAGGAAAGGGGTAGCACCTTTTCAGGGAAAAGTATTAGGGAGTAAAGACGACCCTACATGGTCTTGGTGGTGGGGAAGATAACACTAAAGGAATTTACAACATTTTAATGCCATGCCTGATTTTTGGGTCAGGGTGGTGACTTGGGTAACCACTTGACTGGGGTCTGGCTCCCTGGCTCTGAGATTCCCTGCTGTGTGCGGTGATAACAGCGAATGCTGATAAGGACGGGAGTGAGAGCCTGTGGCCTAGTGGGAGGGGATCATTTCTCCAGGCATAACACTCTGCGAGCTGGGGAGGTGGAGGGACAACTCTGGGAGCTGTGGGGGGGGGGGTCAATGGGCCCCCAGAGGTCAAGGAGGTTGTGCCCTGGGAAACGGGGTATAGGGGCTTTACTGCTGCCTCTGCCAGCAGAGGTGCATCCTCAAACCCCTCGGGCAGGACCAGGACACAGGACTATAGGGGCAGGCCCTCTGCGGACGCGAAAGCGGAGACGGAGCCGCTGTCCGGGCTGGGGCTTGGAGGGCTGCCAGGGGAGGGCGTAGGGGTGCAGGGCGTCCCGGTGAGCGGGGTGTCGGTACTCAGGGAGGAGGGTGTTCCAGAGGAGCGCGGGACCCTGCGGCGCCGGGCTGGCCCCAGCTCCACTTGGCCCACTCGTTCGGCGAACTTGAGTGAGCAGACAGTCTCGCCGAGATCCTCCGGTCGCGTGGAGATCTGCGGGGGAGTGGCGCTGGTGGGCGGGCCCCGAGTGGGCAGTGCCTGACATGCAAATGACCTTCTTGCGGCCTTGCGCCCCGCCCCACGCCTGCGCCTACCCAGGCGCCCACCTGCAGCAGCAGCACCGCGGTGGTGCCGGGGCCGAGCGCCGGCTGCAGCAGCCGCGTGAGCTGCGAGTCGCGGAAGGGCACGTGCGGCCGGTGAGCTCGCAGCGCAGCCATCACGCCTCCTAGCGCCAGCAGCGAACGGTTGATAGTCTGAGCCTCCCGCAGGCGCCGGGCGCCGTCTGGGTCTCCCCTCGGCGGGCCGGCCGCCCCCGCCTTCCGTGCGCGCTCGGATCCCGCCAGGTCCACCAAGTGCAGCGTGCCTAGAGGGGCAAACAAGTCCGACGTGGAGGGAGACCGGGCCTCGGATGCGCTGAGGACCCCGCAGGACTCAGGCACAGGTCATGATACCTGTGGTGCCCGGAGCGCGAGGTGGAGACGCCGCGCGCAGAGTCAACGTGACCAAGGCGTGCGATCGGGAGCTGTGCTGGTTCATGGCGGTCGCAGCGGTGGCCCGGTTGCTCCTCCCCAGCCTCAGCATCTGGAAGGTGAAGTGACAGGCCTGGTCTTGTGCAGGGTCCCCTCCCCACGGCGGGAGCACAGGGCGGGGCTTGGAGGGCTGTGCAGCCGACTTACCTGGTGCAATGTCTCCAGGTTGGGCACGTCCCAGTGGGTGAGGCCAGCTACCTGGATGCTCCCCTGGCCTTCTGGGCCCTGCCTCACAGCCAAGCGCTCTGGAGGCCCTGGGGCAAGGAGGTCCCTAGTGAGAAAATGGGAGGGCCTAGTTAAGGTGCTCTTGGGGGAGCCAGAAGAGCACTGGGCCAGGTGCAGATAGGAGGTCCCGCAGCGCAGGCCTGACCTGACAGCCTCATTGTATATCTCCACCATGCTGAGTGTCACACGGTGCTGCCCTCCAGCCCCCATCTCCCGAAACAGCGACTGCAGCGCCCTCGGAGCTATGCCGGGGTCCTCAGGTGGGCCCTGAGGATGGGTATGGGATGCCACACTGGGCTCACATCCAAGCTCCTGGCCCCAGGAGCCACCCAGAGCCCCTAGGGCCTTTCCCACCAGGGTGTAGGCTCCACCCCACCTCCATGCTGTAGGTCTTCCCGGTCCCCGTCTGACCATAGGTGAAGATGCAGACACTGTAGCCACGGAGGCAGGATAGCACAGCAGGCTCCAGCTCCCTGAAGACCTAGGGGTGGGAAAAGGTCTTAAACCCCTTCCTGTTACAGATGGGCAGCTAGCTGAGCAGGCCCAGGCATGGGGCAAGGTGCAAAGCTATAAGAGAGTAATTTCCCTATTTAGGACCTATTTGGTAGGGTGGGAATGAAGTGAAGGCAGGGGGTAAGCAGAGCTTCATTCCCCTAGGAGGATGACTCGAAGAGACCACAGGGAGAGGGTGGATCCTCTGACAGAGACCCTCTGTCTCCCTGGAGAAGGTGGTGCTTGCAAGAATTTTCCAGGTAAAGAAGGTTAAGAGTTATGACAAAAAGAGGGAACAACCCATACAGAGGAACTGGAGTCCTGAAGACCACTTAGAAGGCCCTAGGGATCAGAAACCAAAAGCCCAGATGGTGGGGCTAACTGCCTGTTTCAAACACGGATGTGATTGGAAAAAGGTTTACTTGTCCTTCCTGTGCCCAGTTTTCCTCCATGAGGTAAGGATCACAGTGGCACCTGCTATGTGTTCACAGGTAATGGGCACTTGCAGGGCCAGAGCACTACTTGGAACACAAAGGATGAGCCCAGGAAGCGCTCTGTAGCTATGGGGGATGAAAGCCAGCCAGGACTGCTGAAGCCTGGGCACAGAGGGGTACAGAGAGATAGCTGAGTGAGAGATGGGACTGGAACATTTACCCTGTTGGCCACTGGACACCAACAGCAGCCTTTTGAACAATGGCATGGCTAGCTTTCAGCCTTGAAGGTTGCTGGTAACTGGGTGGGCTGTCCACTCTGCTTGAAGTCTTGGTTGACCCAATTCTGGGTTCTCAGTGGTCACTAAGATTCCATGACTGGATGAAGGAGGCACTGGGGATGATTCTGAGTGGGTGGACTGTGGCACCACTGCAGACATGGTGAACACAGGTGAAGGGCTTGGTGACACATGCCTTTGGTTCAGATACATTTGATTGGAAGGCTCTGTTGAGGAAGGCTGCTCAGAGGACAATGGACAAGGGGCACCCTGTGCAGGGCTGCAGTTTAGGGTAGAGCCTGAGAGATCGGGGGATATGTGAGATAAACAGGGAAGTACATGGGAAAGGAGAAGTGAAGGTGATCCTCAGCCACCTGCTAGGCAGCCATCACCATATCCTGTGAGGCTGACAGGCAACCCCGAGTCGCTACCACTCTGTCCCTCACCTAGTCTCCCCTGCTCTGGACCTCTATCTCCTCAGCTATGAGAGATCTAGCCACAAAGTGTACATAAAGATAAAAAATGGTGTGTGTTGGCCAGGTGCAGTGGTTCAAGCCTGCAATCCCAGCATTTTGGGGGGCCGAGGTGAGAGGATTACCTGAGTCCAGGGGTTCGAGTCCAGCCTGGGCAACTTGGTGAGACCTCATCTCTACAATAAATCAAAAAATTGGCAGGGCATGGTGGCATGCACCTATAGTTCCAGCTACTTGGAAGGCTGAGGTGGAAGGATCACCTAAGCCTAGCAGGCTGAGGCTGCAGTGGCCATGAGCGTGCCACTGTCCTCCAGCCTGGGCAGTCTCCAGAGTGAGACTTTGACTCAAAAAAAAAAAAAAAAAAAAGGTGTGTGTAAAGTTGGGAGTGGGCTGGGCTGGGACTAGAGCTCCTGTGTTTCCACTGGTGTCTGGCAGGAAAAGGGAGGAGAAGGAGAATGCTCACTCACACTTTGCCCCACCGCCTGCCTTAGGGCCACAAAGCAAGGAGGGGTACCTGTCCTCACAGCTGGCAGACCCTGGACCCTGAGGAAGGGTAGTAGGCAGACAGTGAAGCCTGGGAGAAGGAGGCACCAAGCTGTTGCCTGTGGAGCCATGGCACTGTCTACCACTGTAGCAACCCAGCCACATCCTGCAGCCAGTTCTTTGTGAGCAATAACTATCACTGTTGACAGATTAATTTTCCTTACCTTCCGGTAAAACAAAATTATTTTTATAAGATGTTAACCTTCCTGTCTAAACTAAAAGGTCTGTTTCCCCCAAACCTGTAGAGTTTGGTGGGAGATGCAGAGAGGAAAAACCCTGGAAGGGACACAGGCACCCAACTGGGCTGCCAGTCCTGCTTCCCAGATCCTCTGACTACAGCCCAGCCACCCTTCCTCCTCTAGGTGGACAGACAGACAGGGAAGGGGAAACTGGAGCCTCTTCTGTTCTTCAGGAAACTCTGAGAAAGGGTCAGGACAGGTGCAAAGATGGGCTGTCACCTCCTCCTGGCTGGCATCTGGAGGGAAGACCCAGTCCAGGCGGAAGCGACGATGCCGCCCTCGATAGCAGGTGGTTACGGTACCTCCTGGGCCAGGCTCCACGCTCACCAGGCTGGAGGGTGTCTCTGGCCTTGGCCGACATAGCACACGGATATTTCCTGCAATGGAGATCAGATCAGCAGAATGCCTCCCAGGCCCTGAAGCATAGAGAGGCTCCACTTCATCCAGCCTGCCCTCCCGGCTCCCTTTGCTTCCCAAGCCTGCCATACCCTTGAGCTCCGGCAGCCGCCCCGGGCATCCGGCTGGGGGCCCCTGCTGTCCCTCAGGGAACTGAGTGCCAGCCCCTCCAGCTGACAACGCCCCCAAGGCCCAGGATACCTAAGGGAACAGGGGTGTGAGGAAGGCAGTGGGGGCAACCAAGGAGCTACAGGTGGGGTGGGGTGCTGAGAGCAATATGGAGCCACCGCGTGGCCCACCCAGCTGTGCTGACCCAACTTCAGAGGCTTTGGGCTCCTGGGAGTATAATTCAGTGGGCCTGGAATAGAGCCCAAGAATCACAGACAGGGACATCACATCATCTGTCTGCTCTGTGCTTCTGGGCAACCCTTTGAGGGATTTGTTGTCAACCAGGTTTGCACAGGCAGAAACAAGGCCCAGAGTGAGGTCACACCTGGGTCACACAGAAGCTGTTCTGTTTCCAGGGCTGGGAAGGGAGAAATAACAGGGTCTTCCCTTGGAAAAACAATGAATACGCTGCCCAGAGAGGAGGCTGGGAGGGAGTCCTGACCTGGCCCCGGGCCTCACTCAGCGACCCCTGACAGCTCTGGGTAAAGGTGCTGACCAATCCTCGGAGGTCCCCGCAGCCCTGACGCAGGCTGGCCATCCGTGCCCGAAGTCCTGGAGGGGGAAGTCTGTTGGGAGGGATAGCCCAGACCCCAGGGCCTTCCATGAGCCCCCTGCCCCCAGCCCTTACCTGCCAATTGCCCATGCATCTGCTGCAGCTCCCGCCTACAATTCTGTTCTGTCTCCTGCTGGAGCTGCTGAAGGGCCCCCTGAAGGCCCTGCAGCTGGGCCTCCTGTATCCCCAGCTGCCCCACCCAACCCCACCCCTGTCACTGAGGAAACAGGCACTTACCAGGCACTGCCTCAGATAACCCCCTCCCTATGCCCCAGTGCTTCTCACTCCCAAGTCCCACATCTCTGGGCCCCATGCCCACCTGGACTCGGAGGGCTTCTGTGGTGTCCTGGGCCTCCTGAAGCCGGCCCTGGAGCTCCACCAGTGCCTCCTCCTCCTCCTGCAGGAGGGTGGGAGCCAGGAGGAGACTCAGGGAGGGGCATTCTGTGCTACCACTTCACGGGAAAGTCAAGAGGTGGGCAGAGCTAGCTGTGAATCCATGTCTCCCAACAGCGTGCAGGGATCTTTTCCCCAGTCTGCTCTCCTGGGGTCAGTCTCAGAGAGGCCACGGAGGTGGGGTTCAGCTTTCCTGGTGGGGCTGCCCTGCACAGACCATCCCAAGGCCTGTCGGCAGTGAGAGACCCCATCACAGGGCCTACTGCTTCACCAAACACAAAGTCCTGAAAAGGCTTGGGCACTGTGGTTGGATGCCAGGTGTGCAAGAGCCCCGGGCTGCAGGAACAGTAGCAGCTCAGGAGCAGGGTACCTGTGGGGCCCTGGTGGGGGGACTGGGGCCCCAGTGCAGCAGGAGGTCCCTTGTGAGGCTCAAACTCTGCTTCAGGGCCTCATTCTCCAGAGTTAGATGCTGAACCCTTTTCTCGGAGTCTGTTGCCCCCTGGTGGAGAGGAAAGCCCTCAGTCTAGTACTCGAAAACTCCACTCCTCCTGTTCCCTCCCTGCCACCACCCTAACAGTCTCACCACTCCCAGGCGAAGTCTGCCCAGCTCCTCCTCCTGCTGTTCCAGCTGTTGCTTCACCTCTTCCATCTGGAAAGACACGAGGAGGACAGGGTGGTGCTCCTTTTCCTGGGACCCTGCCAACAAGTCTTGGCTAGCTCCTGGGTCCCTCACCTGTCCCACGATGAGCTGCTCCAGCCGCTGCCAAGCCCTCTGGTCCTCCTCCAATTGGAGAGGCTCCTGCCCATGGCCCTCATCCTCTGGTGCCTCCCCTGGGATTGCGATGAGATGGGAAGGGTTTTCTTCTTGGGATACAGATCCTGGAGTGGGTGGGTCTGGTTAGGACTGAGGAAGTCTCCATCTGAAACCTCTAGAGCAGGGCTGGGCTTTGGATCCCACACTCCAGGCCACCCAGGATCTAATAGACTTTGCTCCCTTCAGAATTTTTTTTTTTTTTTTTTCAACTTACTGCCCCTTACGCACCATCTAGAGTGGGAGGCTGCACACGAGAGGCTGGCTGAGTCCCCTGGAGCAGAGCCTGCCTCCCCCTGGGGCTTCGGATCCATGCCAGAAGGGCCAAGAGCTGACTGGTCACTGTCAACAGTGGGGGGACCTCACCGGACTGTGAAGGAGATAAGAATCAGAGTAGAGGAGATGGTGGGGCAGTGTTGCAAGGGCCAGAAAGTCTGGGGAGAGGTGACTGTTTGCTGGAGCCGGTCCTTCCCTGCTCACCTTGCCCAGGTCGGGAGGATTCCCGAAGCTCTCTTCCGCCCCCAGCTGGACGGAGAGGAACTCAGCAAGACGCATGAGAGCCTCTTCCAGCGACACCTCGGCTGGGCGGCCCTCGGCTCCCCCTTCTGGCACATCGTCAGGCTCGGAGCAGCCTGCGAGGCCAGGTAGTGGGAACGAGAGGTATTTTTGGTCACGTGTTGGAGGCTGGGCCTCCCCTCCCTCCCAATGAAGTCACGGGCACCCCTCCATCTCTTAGACGACGGGGCTTCCTCATGACCCCCGCGCAGCGTTCCCGGCCGCTCCTACCGGCCAGGCCAGTCAGCTCGGTCCACAGTTCTGGCGTGGGCTGGTCGGGGCGACGGCGACCCCTGGACTTGCAGCGGGCTCTCTAGGGAGGGAGTGGGGGCGTTCCTGAGGAGGAGCCAGGCAGCCTGTGGGGCTCCTTTCCTCCAAGGACTGGGCCTGAGAGGCGGGGGCCGAGGTCTATGCTTCCAAACTGAACCTAGAAGAGGGCCCTCAGCACGACCCTGCTGCCTAGGGTAGCACCCTACGGACTTAAGCCACGCGGGACTGCCACGACCTGATCTCGCGGTGGGGGTGAGGTGGGGGTTGGGGGTGGTCCACCGGCTGGCAGGCCCTCCCCCGCTCACCTGGGCGGGGTCCCCGGGGTCTGCGGCTGCTGCCGCCCTGCCATCCCTGCGGAAGAGGCTGTAGAAGATGTAGATGAGCAGCGAATAGAAGGCGTACATGGGAGCGCGGGGCG